TTTCTTTCTTTCTTTCTTTCTTTCTTTCTTTCTTTCTTTCTTTCTTTCTTTCTTTCTTTCTTTCCTTCCTTCCTTCCTTCCTTCCTTCCTTCCTTCCTTCCTTCCTTCCTTCTTTCTTTCTTTCTTTCTTTCTTTCTTTCTTTCTTTCTTTCACTTCTTCCTAATAACTTTTAGACAGAGTTGCTTTTGCACGGTACTACTTGCTACTACTTATTGTAGCTTGAAACTCCATTTTTGTACCAATAGAAGCTCCTTTCTCCACAAACGCTGAACACATTCGCACTTACAAGCAATTATGACAGATTATAATGACATCTTTAAAAATACATGCTTCCATTTGTATTCAGAAATCTGCAAAGCCCTTACTTCCTTTGTCTGTCACTCAAACTTATAACTCTCATCTGAGATGGTCTTAGTCTTTCATCTGCTGCACGACACAAGCATGCTCCCTAGTAGAAAAACTATATTTCTAAGCGTAAATTCAGTCATGTTACCTTTTCTAGGGATGCTGGTGTTTGAGCAAGAGTCTTATCTCTTACTGCAAAGTAACACTCTTTAAGAGTGCTAAGAGGACGGTGTTCAAGGTAAAGAGAATGGAAACACTTTTCTGATTTAGACCTCGGAGGTCCAGCAGCTCGAGCCCAGATTGTTCAGAGGCAAAGCCGGGAAGCACAAAGATGCTGCTTTAGGAACTAGATTTTGGATCTCAGAATGTTTCCCTTGAAACACTGGGAAGCCAGAAAAAAAAAAAAATCAGATTTTTAAAGAAAACATTTTAAGTTTCTGGCTTCCTACTTCTTCTTCAGTGTCCAGCTAAGTGAAGAGGAGGAGTCAGCAGCATCATTCCTTCTCCTGCTTAATAAAGACAATATTAGCAGCAGCCACCTATGTGTACATTTTAAGATTCGTTTTCAAGAGACCGTATTCCAACATAGTGCTCTGTAGGACTATTGCATCAAGGACTATGAAACCATCAAAACAATATATATAAAACCTTGATATTACATAAGAAATGCAGTTTTCTAATTTGTCCTCCTACTCCACATACATACTGAAAATAAACCCAAACTTTAAAATGTAGATTTAATTCCTTGAGCAAAACAAGATAAAAATGAGATTGATATTTTTGTCCAAGTTTCTTTAAAGGGAATTGTTTTTAATGCGAAAACAGTTAACACACCATTCAGAAGAGGGAAAAAAAAACTTGTATTTTGCAGTGCATCTTTTAGCCACATTATGCCTTGTAAAATTTTCCTTTTGCTGATTGCACTCAGAAGTTATAAAATTAAATGAGGTGCATTGGCTAGTCACCTGGTTTCCTGAATTGTCAGATAGAGAGAAGCAATGTTATTAAGTGCAATATGTTATGAACCACGAAAGTGCATTTTAATCAAGACTACATTTATTAAGAACTTCGCATTTTGTATGCAGTTTGTCCTCCTTTATAACGAATATTTATGTAATGTACTTGATGATACCTAGGAAGACATTAACAGCCTTCATGTGAACAAACCAGAACTAACATGCTAAGGACACCTGTAACATGACTTACAAGCTAAAAACTGATGCAGTTCACTAGGGAATCAGAATTTATCTGCTACTTTTGTTCCTTGAATAGCTTCACAAATGGAAGGAGGATATATGCTTTGCTCTTTATTTATCTAATCAATAGGTGTTTATTATCATCTTAGTGCCAGTGTGCCACTTCTGGAAAGATAATGATCTGCCTAAGACATACTCTCTGTTCACTAGGAGGGAGAATGAATTCTAGCCAGGCACTGGTAGAGCATACCTTTGGTCCCAGCACTGAAAGATAGAGGCAGGTAAATCTCAGCAGTCAGTCTGGTCTACAGTGAGTTCCACAAAGAAGCCTTTCCTAAAAAAACAAAACAGAACAAATAAACTAAGAAGAAAAAACAAAACCACAACATCAAAAAACCCCAACCAAACAAAAATTCTGTTCTCTTCTAGTGGGAGATCTAGGTTTTATCTTTAAAATCAACAGATGAATAGACTATCCACAACCGTGTTGTATAGAAAATATGCCAGGTTCTAGAACGATGGTAGGAAGGATCAGCTTCTACAGTTTGAGCAGAAATGTGAGAAATGGCAGAGGAAAGGTACGTTATGCTCTTTGTCATACCTTCCTCAAAGTGAACATTTAATTTTCCAGCAAGATAAAGTGAACTCTGCTTTGCTGGTGGCATCTTTTCTTACACAGTTCAAGTGTACAGTTGTTTAACAAATTGTATACAGTGCAGCTATCAGAAATATCATGGAGGGAACTTCTGAACAAAGTGAATTGCAATTTCATTGTGAGTCTGAGTGCCAAGACCAGATTTCAGAGGCATGAAAAGGAACCACCCAGTTTAGCTTGTAAACACTTCCATGACTTCTTCAGACAAATTGAATTCGTCATGGTGTGCAAGTAAGAAAGGAATATGGGATGTTAAAAAGGTGGCCTAATTTTCATTCTTCAGAAGTTCGCCCCCAAACAAACAAACAAACAAACAAGCTTCATGAGTCCCTGCCTAAATCGCTCACTCTTGGGGAAGTCAGTGGCTGCTGGTAGAGTGTCTGAAGGTTTAACCACTAGAGGGAGAGGGTGTGCCTCTGGCTAGGGAACCAATGACAGCAACTCAGTAAAAGGATAAGCTTGGAGGGATCTAACTGGAGCAGTTGTCAGCTAGGGGCAAGGACTGTATCTAGGGTGGTGGTTTGGTAGTTTGAAGGTTTGGTTCTCCAGGTTTCACAATGGATCTTCTTCAGCAGATGAATTCTGTTGCTTTTAACTATGAAGACATTTCCTCCAAGTACGGAATGTTTTAATCTTTTCTAAGGACCACTATGACTTTGAAGACACTTAAAATGCTGAAACTTACTTTCCAGGAGGGAAGGAACGAACACATAGAGAACTTTCACACTTTATAGTAGGTCACCCTTTATATGCTGTGGAGTCACACACGCCAATTTTCTGAATTTGCTGTCTTTTGAACTGATTTGAACGACTCCTGGGTTCTCTTTAGTTTGGCCTTTCCAAATCTAACTTTAGAGGGAAAACGTTTTATTCAGATAGCTGACAAATATTGCAACTTAAAAAAAAAAATCAGGAAATTATTATAAACCTGAGCAAAAGTGATTAATCTCCCATGAAATGGTTTATCTTATTTGCTTTATGCCATGATTTCCCATAATTAAAAAATGAACTGAGCCTTACAAGCACAATTGGGTTAATAACAGCAATGGCTGGAATATACTTTTTAAAAGTAAAAATAAATGCATTAGACGTTGTTGGGGTATCCATTGTGTACCACTGTGAATGAATCCTTTGCTCACACCAAAATCTAAATGCTGGGCAGAGTAGTACTTAAGATGAAAGTTGATTTTATTTTCAATGTGTCATAACGCTTGCTTCAGCGGAAAAGGGGCAAGGGAGAAAACTCTCAGCAACTATTTCTGGGATTCTTTAAAGGAGTGGGAGGCACAGCGCCTGCTCCTCTTTCAGCATTGATTTTTCTACACAATTTGCGATACGGTTTCTCAGAAATGCTGTTTGGCAGTCCTGATAATTTCATGTGTTTTCAAACTTAACCCACCCAGACTACACAGTTCAGTATTTTCAGCTCCTTTCATTTTCCCTTTAATTATAGAAGTATCTATTCCCAATTTTCTGTGGTCCAGAAAGATAGTAAATGCTGCTATTTGCAGAGCGAACACGCATCTCCCCCCCGCCCCCCCCCCACACACCCCGCGCCCCCAGGACGATTCCTATGCTTTTCCCCCCAACAAACGCAAACGCCGCGACTAACAACTTTGCGGACCCTCACGGTCCCTTTGACTCGGGTGGATGTGGCCCACGCCGGGCCGGGCCGGGGGGTGGTGGTGGATATAAACGGCGAGTAAACACTCTAATTTTAAACTTGCACTGGAAAGCACTTTCACCACGGGGACGGCGGCGCTCCCCGTCTCCCCCCC